AGCGGAATTGGGTAAGTTTGGTGTCCCTGACCCCATTTTCGGGTCCCTCACCCCATTTTTGGTGTCTTTGACCCAATTTCAGTGTCCTTAACCCCCATTTTGGGGTCCCCAACCCCATTTTTTGGCTTCCCAATCCCATTTTTGGAGTCCCTCGCCCCATTTTTGTGGTCCCTAACCCAAATTTTTGGCTCCCTGACCCCAATTCCGGTGTCCCCCACCCCAATTTTGATGTCCCTGACCCCAATTTCGGGGGTCCCCCCCCGTTTTTTGGCTCCCTGACCCCAATTCCGGGGTCCCTGACCCCATTTTTGATGTCCCTGACCCCAATTTCGGGGTCCCTGACCCCAATTCCGGGGTCCCTGACCCCATTTTTGGGGTTCCCTCCCGTTTTTTGGCTCCCTGACCCCATTTTCGCTCTCCCCCACCCCAATTCCGGTCTCCCCGACCCCAATTCCGCTGTCCCCGACCCCAATTCCGCTGTCCCTGACCCCATTTTTGATGTCCCTGACCCCAATTTCGCTCTCCCTGACCCCAATTCCGGTGTCCCTGACCCCATTTTTTGGTCCCTGACCCCAATTTCAGGGTCCCTGACCCCATTTTCGCTCTCCCTGACCCCAATTCCGGTGTCCCCCCGTTTTCTGCCCCCCAGCGACGTGCACATCTGGTTCCCGCTGCTGGAGCCGCTGGAGGCGCCCTCGGCCTGGTGGGACCCCGAGGCCGACAAATCCCTGCTGCTGGGGGTCTTCAAGCACGGTAACGGCACCGGGGGGTTTGGGGTCGGTTTAGGGGGATTTCCGGTCATTTTGGGTCATTTCCGGTCGTTTTGGGGGGATTTCGGGTTGGTTTGGGGGGATTTGGGGTCATTTCCGGTCGTTTTGGGTTGGTTTGGGTCATTTTGGGATCGTTTTGGGGTCATTCCAGGGGGTTTGGGGTCATTTTGGGGTTGTTTTGGGGTCATTTCGGGGGGTTTGGGGGGATTGGGGTCATTTTGGGAGGTTTTGGGTCATTTTGGGTCACTGGGGTTTGGGGTCATTTTGGGGGGTTTGGGATCATTTCGGGGGGGTTTTGGTGTCGTTTTGGGTTGTTTTGGGTCATTTTGGGGTGGTTTTGGGGTTGTTTTCGTGCGTTTTAATGAGTTTTTGGTTGTTTCTTTGGGGGGTTTTGCTGTTCTTTGTTGTTTTTTGCTTTTTTTTTGTTGTTTTTGCCGTTTTTTGCCGTTTTGGGGTGAATTCTGGGGTTTTAGGGTACGGCCGGTACCACAGCACGGGCACAGACCCTGCTCCACAGTTTGGGGTTGTTTCAGTGTATTTTGGGTGGATTTTGGGTTATTTTGGGTGTATTTTGGGTTATTTTGGGTTACTTTGTGTGTATTTTTTTGCCGTTTTTTGCCGTTTTTTTGCTGTTTTTCACTCACCAGCCCCGTTTTGGGGTGAATTCTGGGGTTTTAGGGTACGGCTGGTACCACAGCACAGGCACAGACCCTGCCCCAGGGTTTGGGTGGATTTTGGGTGTATTTTGGGGTATTTTGGGTGGATTTTGGGTTATTTTGGGTTACTTTGTGTGTATTTTTTTGCCGTTTTTTGCCGTTTTTTGCTGTTTTTCACTCACCAGCCCCGTTTTGGGGTGAATTCCGGGGTTTTAGGCTACGGCCGGTACCACAGCACGGGCACAGACCCCGCCCCAGCGTTTGGGTGTATTTTGGGTGTATTTTGGGGTATTTTGGGTGGATTTTGGGTGTATTTTTTTGCCGTTTTTTGCTGTTTTTGTCTGACCGATCCCGTTTTGGGGTGAATTCTGGGGTTTTAGGGTACGGCCGGTACCACAGCACGGGCACAGACCCTGCTCCACAGTTTGGGGTTGTTTCAGTGTATTTTGGGTGTATTTTGGGGTATTTTGGGTGGATTTTGGGTTATTTTGGGTTACTTTGTGTGTATTTTTTTGCCGTTTTTTGCCGTTTTTTGCTGTTTTTCACTCACCGATCCCGTTTTGGGGTGAATTCTGGGATTTTAGGGTACGGCCGGTACCACAGCATGGGCACAGACCCTGCTCCACCGTTTGGGTGTATTTTGGGTGTATTTTGGGTGTATTTTGGGTTATTTTGGGTTATTTTCTGGGGGTTTTTTGCCGTTTTTTGCTGTTTTTCACTCACCGATCCCGTTTTGGGGTGAATTCCGGGGTTTTAGGCTACGGCCGGTACCACAGCATGCGCGCAGACCCTGACCCAGGGTTTGGGTTATTTTGGGTGGATTTTGGGGTATTTTGGGTGGATTTTGTGTTATTTTGGGTGGATTTTGGGGTATTTTGGGTGGATTTTGGGTTATTTTCTGGGGGTTTTTTGCCGTTTTTTGCTGTTTTTGTCTGACCGATCCCGTTTTGGGGTGAATTCCGGGGTTTTAGGGTACGGCCGGTACCACAGCATGCGCGCAGACCCCGCCCTGTGTTTCCTGGCCAGGGCCGGGGGTCCCGACGCCGCGGCTCTGGCGGCCGAG